AACAAATATTTTTTTATAGATTTTATTTTTAAAAAGTTGAACCCACTTTCTATCAGATTTTCTGTTTGGGTTTTTTTAAATCTTTTTTAAAGACAAAAATATTATATTTATAAATAATTAAGATATAATCCATGTATTAATCCATCCATTATACAAATTTTGCTTATTTTAACTTTAATTTCACTTCAAAGTGTCAATTTGATACCTTATGGTTCTTTTTTTCTTTTTGCTTTTGCCAACTTTTTTTTTTGTAATTTAAATAAAATTGTAAAAAAAAAAAAAAACCAATTGAAAAACTTTTTTTCTTTTAATTAAGATTGAATTGGGACAAATTAAATTTTTTATAAAAAAATGAGATCAAGGCAAAAGTATATTTAATATTATTTAATTAGACTTACTTCGAGATATATATACATATATTTTATTATTAACTTAATTTTATAATTTTATATATATATTTTAAACTCGATAACGATATCTATGTAACACATTCTATGAGCTTCATTTTTCTTTTTTATTTTTTTTAGTTTTTTAATTTTTGCCCTTTTAACTTTTTTCCTAATTTTTTATTTTATAAATTTTCTATTAAATAAATTTTGTAAGAACATGAGTTAATTGAAATATTTACATGTTATCCCCATTTTGATTTTTTTATCTTTTATCTTTTTTTTTTTTTTTTTTAATTAGGTAAATTTTGCAATAAAAATTTCGATAAATAGAAATGGAAAAACAAAAAAATTTTGACTTGCGGCCACACGCGGGCACCCCATCTAGTTTATTAAAAGTAGGACATGTTAGCCTGCAATTATAGCTATTAATTAAACTAATATTTATGTTATCATTTTAAGATGACTCTATTTTCGCATGTAGTTTTAACTTCTTCCACACAAATATTAGTTATCGCATAGGATCTAAATGTTACCAAATGTATGTTAGATAATTTTTTTCAAAATATGAAAATATGGTTAAGTAATAACTTAATCAAAAAGACATCTAATCAAGATATAAAATGGCTTAAGGAAAGGTTCCAAAGATATGAGACATGATTTTAAACTTAAAGAAATCTTATTAAGAAGCTATACATGTAAGTAGCAGACTGCCATGTTCGGAAAAGTCGACTGTCTCATGCTTCCGAGAAGAATAGTCGATTACTAGAGGCATGAAGTTGTCTTTTTTGACAAACAAAAACTAAACTTAGATTTTGTGTAAGTAGTAGTCAACTGTCAACTTAAAAGCAATCGACTACTATAATTGAAAAGTGAGTAAAATCGATTCCAAACGTTAATGGAATCAACTGTCGTTGTTTGATGGTTTTATTAGAAATATTGACTCAAATTTCATAAGAGATTTGTTTAAATTTGTTAGAGATTTGTTTGAGATTTATCAGATATTGCTTGATGGACAATAAGACTTGCAAAAGAAGAATTCTAAGAGAAAGGAGATTCTTAATAGGTAAGTTTAACTTAAAAGAAAAGAATTCTAAAAGGAAAGAGATTTTTAATAGACAAATTTAACTTACAGGAGAAGAATTTTAAGAGGAGAGAGATTCTTAATGGGCAAATTTGTATGGTTATAAATATGTGAAGTCTCTACAAAGTTTGGTATGAGAAAAAGATGTAAGAGAGTTGTAAGATTTTGTGGGATAGACACACCATATGAGTATTGGGGCTCTACGTCTTATGGGTGTGTATGTTTGTTTGTGAGTAAACTAAAGGAGACTGAGATAGTTCACATAGGTATGATGTATGATCTTATGGGTATGTATGTTTGTTTGTAAGTGGACTAGAGGAGACTGAGAGGGTCCACATAAGTATGATATATAAGAGCATATTGGTATGTGTTTGGTTATGTTAAAAGGGTGCACAAGGGTTTGGGTTTGTGTTTGTTTGGGTTGAGAATACTTCATAGGACTAGAAAAAATTGAGAGTGTCTTACGAGTATTGATTGTTAAGTGAGGTTGATAATTTGATGTATGTTTGTAGTTCTCTACAACTAATGGATCTTATTTTTCATCTGTGGACGTAGGTTGATTGGACCGAATCACGTTAAATTATTGTCTCTTGTGTATTTGATTTATTATTTGATTTCGCTTCTGTTGATGTGATTGAATTTAAAGCTTTTAACCCAACAGGTCTTATAAAAACTAATCTAAATTTATAGCAGCCAACTGCCGTTGAAAAGGAATCAATTGCCTTATAAGAGGCCAAATGTGGAATCTTTCTAGAATTTGAAAGAAGTCAGCTGCTTTATACAATAGTCAATTGCCATACTTCATAAAGCATTTTAAAAATTGAAAATACAAAAAGGCATCCAATTGTCTTTTAAGTGGAGTCAACTTATTTATATGAAAAGTTACAATTTTCAAACGAATAAAAAATAATTTTTTTATGAAAAATTTGATTATTCAAATGAACAAATATATTTGTTGTCTTTCAAAGAAACATTTTTAATCAACAAAAAATAATTTTTAATTAAAATAATATGATCAAAAAATCACAACTTTAAGATTCAATCTCTTTAAATAGAGATTGATGTGAATTTATTTAACATATAATTTAATTCAAAATTAACTTTTTTCTTTCTCTCCATCCTTTTTCAATTGAATGCAAAATTTTTTAGTATTATTTGTTGCCTCATTGAGAACAAGATATTTCCAATCTTACAAATGAGTATTTAATGATTTATTTTATTAGTACAAAATAAAAACAAACATAGTTTTATTGTATCTTATAAACGTTTTGATTCACCTTTTTGTATATTATAATTATTTGGAACGAAAGACACCTTAAGGAAATTAACATTTATAGCATATCTTGAAATCATTTGGATTGTGATTGAAGGTCCAAATTCTTTAACTCTAACTACACACAAGATAGCTATCAAAAAATCCAAGTACTTGCAAGTTGGTTTCTTATAGTATTGTACATCATTTATTTTCAAACAATGTACAATGATTTCTGTGAGAGCAAACAACATATATATATATATATATATGTGAGGAAATAAAGTCACCCGAAATTTCATAGGTATTAATGCCCTCTTGATGTTTATGAAAATAGTATATTCTATGAAAACTATTTTTTAAAATATTCTCTTTAGAAGATAAGTAATGTTAAATGGAAAAAAATTCGAATATGAGAGGCAAAACATAATAACAATTAGAGCAAAATAATGTGAATTTTAATGACTAAGATTTTAATTTAGTCATGTATTTGGAGTATTTTATGAGTCTTGTTTGAAGTATTTGGATGATTTAAATCCTTGTATTTTAACCAACTAGACCTTGTTTTAGTGAAAAAAAAAAAAATGAAACCTTGAGTTGCCAAATTCTAATTTCATCAAACACATGATTTGATTTAATTTTATATTAAATTTATTTAATTATATGATATTCACTTATTAAAACGTATGTTTAATTTAATTATTAATTTTGTACGAAACATAATATTTAATTATAATTATAAATTTTTATCTTTTAATAACTTTATTTGTAAAATATATCCTATATTGTTTAAGGCTTTTTCTCATTTTCTCCAACAAAAACCATAAAAAAATGAAAAGTAAGGAATAGATTGAGGATTCAAACATTTATCGTGTAGCAATGTCATCAACAGTAATTTTGATAATCTTAAACACGACACGATATAATAATATAATATAAAATAATATAAATTTAACACGATTTAAAATTTTCTTAAGATTAATGTTGCGAATAATTTTTAAACTATAATAAAATATTTAAATGTAATACCTAACTTTAAAAATTTTTATGTAATATCTAAATTATGAAATTTTAACTAATATGACATTTGAAGAATTATTTATCCCTTATCATTTACAGTTAATTATGTTATGAGTGAATGTCATGTTAATTAAAAAATTAGTAATTAAATTTTATATTAAAAATTTTTAAATTCAGATTTAACACGATATAATTCAAGAATCATTTTTAATATTAACCTATTTTAATAAAATTATAAATGAGTTTAAAAAAATAAAAAAATTTATATTTTATTTTTTTATATTATATGAATTGTGATATATATAAAATATGAAATAAATATATTAATTATTAATTTTTATATGATATAAATATATAATGATCGAATTGAAAGTAAGAGTACTCAAAAATACTAAACCCCTTAACACTTAAAACATGTGGTCTTGACCGGGCTCTTTTTTTTTTAGTTCACAGGATACATTGCATGAAGAGATTAGAGCCTGATTCAAAACCAAATCCTGTGTTCTCCTGTGTGTTTCATTAAACACCTTTAACCTCTAAGGCTTCAGGCGACCAGCCACTACTCACTTAGAAAATATCATCCTTTCTACTTTATTAGACGTACCTATTCCTGACAAAGGTGATAAAAAGATTAACAAATTAAAAATTATGATATTTAACTCGATCCAAATCAATTTTTTATTTAATAATTTAAATTAAATTTAAATATTATATATATTAAATTCAGATCAAATTTTAAATAATAAATAATAAACAAATTAATAAATTAATTTTATATTTTTATTAGATTATATATATTTTAAATTTTTATAAAATAAAAATAATTATTTTATATTTAAATTTATTTAAATATATTAAAATAATATAAAAATAAAAAAAAATTTTAAAAATCGATTAACTAAACTAAATAAATAAAATGCGATTTAAATAAAATAAATTTCAAAAATATCAACTTGAATTTAAATTAAAATTTTAAAATTTATAATATTATACTTTATAAAAAAAAAAAAAACTGAACTAAATCCAAATTGATATTAACTCTAATATCCGGCATCTCTTGCGCTACAGCCGTTAAGAGAGTGGCATGGTCAAACCCTTTCGGATAAATAATATTCATTTATTCATCGGCTTTGGAAACGGGGCTAAGGCAAAAAACAGAAAAATTGTAGAGAAATGAATGAATCTCAAAAGAAACAAGGTATTAAAAATTCCAGGAAAAAGAAAGTGACCAAAAATCGAAACAAATACAAAGCATCGGTAATCGTAACTAAGCCAATTTTTCATTTCATTCGATGAAGTTTTGATTCCAACAAGTGCACCAAATTCCATATATTGAAGAAATTTATTTATGAAAATAAGCTAAAGGAAACCCTAAACCTTTGATCCATGTCATCAGAGTCAATCACCGTCAAAAAACTTCCAATCCTATGGCTTAGATCCGGTCATTACTAGGCATCGAAGCACTCATCATCTTCTTAAACTCCTCGAAATTAACATTCCCATCACGATCTGAATCAACCGACCTGATCATTCTAACACAATCATCAACCGAACACGTCATCCCCAACCGATTCAAAACCAGATGCAACTCGCTCGCCGAAATCAGGCCGTTCTTGTCCTGATCATACAAATCAAAGGCGTCGCGTAGCTCCGAAGCGGCGGTGACAGCGTCGGAAGATGAGCGGCAGAGTGAGGAGAATTCAGAGAGGTTGATGAAGCCGTCTTTGTCGGTGTCGATGTCTTCCATGGCACGCTTGAGTTCCTCCTCTGTGTAGTTGGACCCCATTGCTTTCAAGACATCGCCAAGTTCCGCTGCGGAGATCTTACCATCCTTGTTGGCGTCGAATTGGTTGAACAATGTTTGGAGTTGGTCCATGTTTTCCAGGAAGACGGGGGAGGCTTCTTTCGTGGTGCCTGGTTGCGGAGTTGGGGTTGTTGTGGACATGGTTTTGAGGAATGCTTAAAGAAATGAAAATGGAAGGTGGGTGGTGTGTGACTAATTTTGGTTTCCAAGTTGGGCGGTCGGCGGTGGGAGCGAAAGAGGAGGGCTGGGCGGGGCCTTTATAGCCGTGGAGGGAAAACTGAAAAACAATTTCATGGAGCCTATCAATGCTATTACTCTTCTGTCCTTTCCATTCTTTTGCTCCCATGCCCTTGCCCAAAATATATAAAATAAAATATGAGGATGTAGGTTTTATATTTTATATTTTTGAATTAAATTAATTAAAATTAAAAATATTATTTTAATTTAAATTAATCAAATTAGTACAATACTCAAGATTATATTTGGGCGGGTCAAATCGTTTTCATTTTGATTAGGATGAATTTATTTTAAATTTATATTTTTTAAATTTAATATTTAAGTTGTTTGAATTTGACATATTTAATTCAAATAATTTGAATTTAAAATATTTGTTTCAAATCATTTTGAATGTAAATTATTAAATTTTATAAATTAAATTAATTAAATTTAAAATTCAAATTATTTTAAATTCAAATTAATTTGAATTAAAATAATTTGAATTGGATAGGGTTCAATCTCAAGCTAATTGAACAAAATTTTTTCATTTGAGCCAATTTTTTTCCGGCCAAGCTTTATATGATACAATTATTTATGTAATGAAATTTTTTAACGCTTAAAATGTAACAAAAATGATAAATGCTAGAAATAATTATTGATTATTGATAGGCAACACTAATTAATAATAACTCTTGCTAAAAATATTATTAAAATAAATCTATAATTTAAGTGTGTATGTGTGTGTGTGTTTATATATATATATATATATATATATATATGAAAGGTTATAAAGATAATGGGAGGCTGAAAAACATAAAATATGATTAAATAAAAAAATCAAGACTAGATAATGTAAAAAAGAAAAAATACTATTGGCTCGTGTTTAATATATGTATATCTCTAGTTTTGGTGGCACTAATTTCATTTTGTTTATGGTATTTGCTTATGAGTTATGTCATATATGAGTTTAATTCTATTTGACGTTTATAACATCTTGAGTGTTACAGAATTTGGATTGAGTTTTAAATTTTTAATTTGTTCATAAATTATCCCCAGGTGATGATAATTTTTTATTTTAATTAGATGTTTTCGTGTGTTATAATTATTTTTATTGATTTATTATTGATTTTTTTCAATTTTGTAAAGTTGTTATTTATTTCTTTAATTATTCTCTTTATCATATTTTTAGAGTAAAACATATGGAAAGGACTTTTAATTTTTTTTAACATAATTAAAAATAATAGTAAAGAAAAAAAGATTGAAAATATTATTAAATTTTAATTAATTAATCATTTATTTTTATTTATTATTTTCAATTACATTAATATTTTAAAAAATAAAATTACATTAATTTGATTTTAAATCATTTCAATTAACTTAATTGAAATATGTATTTAATTAAAAGTTTTAAAATTTTTAATACAAAGTAGATTGTAATATCTATAATTTAAATAGACATGTCAAATTCAAACTTAAATTTTAGAGGTGTTAATTGAGTTTGATTCAGCCCTAATCGATCCATGAAGACATTTAGGGACTACTAGTGATGGACTTAAACATTTGAATTTGGGTGGCCAACTTAAAGCAGTATCAAAAGATGTGTTCAAAAATAAAATATCCCAACTAATTAATAAATTCAAAAGATAAAAACAATATTATGCCAACCAATTAGAAAAGAATTTCACTTTCCCTACGCATTTATACATAAAAAAATATTTAGGTGCAATACATGTGATAAATTATAACAACGATAATATAAGTAATATAAAGTAATGAATCAAAATATTGAAAATTTTAGCCAAAAATTGTAGCTATAAAAAATTATTGTCTAAATATTAAAAATAGATTTCTTACTTGTATATAAAATGTCAAAGGTAAAGATGATATTGGATAATAAATAAATTGATATGATTTGATATTATCATATATGATTATGTCAGATTCAGATAATTATAAATTAACAATTAATACATTCTAGATTTATTATGATTCGGATACGTTTTTGATAATATCCTTTAATTATCCTATATTTGAATTCTTTTTAATTTTTTTAATAGATATTTTTGAATATTTGAATCCATTATTCATTTACATATTTAAAATATATAAAATTTTAATACTTGTGAAAGGTTCAAACCTTAGCAAACAATCTTTAATTGTTATTAATTAAAAATGAACTTAAATTTTAAATTTATTTTTTATTTATTTTATATTTTAAAAAATTAAGTAAATAGATAATTTATAAATTTTAATATCTAACGGATAATATTTATATAATTGAATATGAATTCAAATAATTATATTAAATTTAAATAAATAATTAAATAAATTTGAATATTGTAAAAATTAAAAAGATTGAGATACAAATATCTTAAAAATAATTATCTTTGTAATGTTACCATTTATAATAAGAGGAAAGATAAAAAAAATAAGAAAAAAAAGTGTGGAGGTGCATGTATGGGAATAATAACTCGGGCATACAATCATGCATTATAATGTTGCAATGTGCTTCCAATCCAAGAAGATTTTTTATATATAAATTATTGGAGAGGACCACTTTCCAAAATATAATTGGTTAAGCTCAAAAGGTGGCATTAAACAAATAGAAAGAAGATAGCAGGAAGCGGCTGCAAGCCGCGTAGGATCCAAAAGCAGGCGTGTGTGATTAGGTTAGCTTATCATTTTCTGGAGTTGCAAACGCGGGTTCCACACGGTTTTTACACTGCAAAAGCAGAAAAATAAATTTTCCGTACCACTTAATTAATTGATGAATTGGAAGATCAGTAGTGACGTTTGGTCAACGGTCACACTTTAACTTTTATGTATAGTTGTGTTCGCGAAAAGTAAGGTTCATTTTAAGAAAGCTATTCTCCTAAAACCACATTATTTGACGGATTTCAGGAAACAGATGATTTTTTCCGTTATGATTTAGCTTATCTGAATTTAAGATTTTTATGCTTAATTAAAGAGTATAGAATTATTTAATAAATTTTTTTATTATTTTAGTTTGTGTTACATTAATAATACCTGATATATAAATATATTTAAATTAATTTTATTTATTTATTTAATATAATAAATTATGTATTTATTTAATATTTTATGTAATTAATAAAAAAATTAAAAAGTCAAACATTTTTATATATTTTATTAAGTTACATAGAAACTAATTACTATCTTAACATTGATTATTCTTATATAGAGTAAACACTATAAGAAACATGTCAAAAGCAACAAAAAAATATTGGCAGAATTTTTTTCATTGTTAAAAATTATTATTAGTGATAGATTTTCAACAAACTATTGAGCAGATTTCTTAACTGAGCCAATTTTTATTTTATTAAATTAATATTTTTAAGTTTTTTATTTATTCTTTTATTTTATTTAATTATTTATTTGAATAATTTTTTATTTTCAAAATTTTAAAGAAAAGTTAAAAATTAATTTTTTTGTAAAATAAAAATAATTTCCAAAAATGAGGAAAAAATTAAAGTATTAATTTTTTTTTCAAGATAAATTTCCAAGAAAATTTGAAGGAAAAGTTGAATTATCAACTTTCCCTAAAAAGAAAATATCATTTTAGAAAAAATTTTCAGAAAAAAGTTGGAATGCCTATTTTTCCTTAAATTAAATAAAATTTTTAAGAAAAAAATTGAAATATCAAAATTTTCTCAAATAAAAATAATTTCAAAATTACAAGAAAGGGTTAAAGTATCAATTTTTTCCTAAATAAAAATCATTTTAAAAAATGAGAAAAAAGTTGAATTATCAACTTTCCTTAAAAAGAAAATATCATTTTAGAAAAATTTTTGAGGAAAAAGTTGGAATGCCTATTTTTCCTTACATTAAATAAAATTTTTAAGGAAAAAATTGAAAGATCAAAACTTTCTCAAACAAAAATAATTTCAAAATTACAAGAAAGAGTTAAAGTATCAATTTTTCCCTAAATAAAAATCATTTTAAAAATGAAGAAACAATTAAAATATCAATTTTTCCTTAAACAAAAATAATTTCAAAATTTGAGGAAAAAGTTAAAGTATTAATTTTTTCTTAAATAAAAATAATTTTAAAAAATGAGGAAAAAGTTAAAATATTAAAATTTCCTCAAGATCAAAATAATTTCAAATTTTGAAGAAAAAGTTGAAATATAAAATTTTCTTTAAATAAAAAATAATTTCTAAAATTTGGGAAAATTTTCAAAGTATTAATTTTTTCTTAAATAAAAATAATTTCAAATTTTTTAGGGAGAAAGTTGAAGTATCAATATTTTCTTAAAATTAAAATTTTTCTAAGAATTTCATAAAAATATAAATGTTAAATAATATGATGATGAAATCTCTATAAGAGAAATAGTAATTTTCTTGCATACTCTTAAGGTGAGAAAATTCTCTTAATTTTTTACCAAAGTATTGGAGTCAAATAAAAATAATTTTCAATAATTAATTATTAGTAAGACTTTTTTAAAGGCCCAATCGATAATACAAAACAGCTAGTACCATCCTTTGATAGGTGTTATGAAAGTACTATAACATTTCTCATTTATAACCATATTTTTGGACCTACATAGACTAGAATCTACCTTTTTAAAAAAACTTAAGTTAAGCTTAGGACACATCTTTAAAATGGGACAGATTTAGTTAGGCAACCAATCGTATCTAAATAAACAAAAATTAGTAGCAACTCCTAAGTCTATGTCTAGCGATAGGTTCATAGATCTATACATTATGGTAATTTGATGGCTCTACTGGGAATGTCAAGAGTTAAACCAGTAAATGATTTCATGTTATCCAAGCCTAACTTATAATGTATGAATTTTTGTTTTGTTTCTTGTATTTTATTTTTTAAATCATGTTATATAATGTTATTTATATCATGTGTATAACATGGGCTCTATACTCGAGCTCTGTCTTTTTAAAAGGGAGTAAAAGTACCTATGCTTTTGTGATGTTTTAATGCCTCTGCAATAGCTAGCAAAATATTCTAGCTTAAATTGAACCTTTTTTGCACATAGCTTATAATGGATGAGGAT